TTTCTCTTCTCTAGGATAGAAGATTGATCTGGAAAAATTTGTCAAATGGAAAAATCTGATGTGAGAGGATTTTGTACAAAATAGAAAAAAATTAGCCAGGCTCTGTGGTTCATTCCTGTAATTTCAGCAACTCAGGAGACTGAGACAGGAGGATAGCTTGAAGCCAGGAGTTGGACAACCAGTATTGGCAACATAGTGAGACTTCATCTCCCGAAAAATAAAGATAAGAAAAACCATGCCTGGTTAATTTTAAATCACTTTTATAATTTCATAAAGTCAAACTTCCACTTATTAAACCATTATTATTCTTTTATAGGGTATACATTGTTTATTTTAGATCACACTGATATATTCCAAACTGTTACTTCATTTAGATTTTAATTCATCTAAAAAGTCAGAAGTCTGAAAATAGACAATGTTTTGTAAAGTTTTGAAAATACATGGAAAATGAACATGAAATCCATCTGCCTTTTGTTTACCTCATTTCATTGCAACATACTACCCATGTTGATTTCTCTCAGTTAAGGAAACTCATCAAATGAAAACCTTTTGTTCATTAAGTAAGAATATTGTGAAACTTCTCAATGCACAGCAGCTTGCATATTTGCACATAAGTAATAAGTGGACAATTGTTGACTCAGGATATTTTTGCAATAATTGATATTATCCTTTTTCCTTCAGTGTTTTAATGTCAGTTCTTCATAGAAGAAAACCAGATGGGAAATGTTCACCAGCAGAATCTAAACTGTATTAGTTTGATGAAATAAATACCTTTATCAATTAGCAAACTAAAATCTAATTTTCCACTTTTATTTTTAATAACCACATTTATAAATATAAATGTATAAACTAAGTCAGTAATTCCTCTCTTTTCCAGTTGCATGGTCTAGTGTATGAAATATACAGTAAATACTTTTAAATTAGCTCTACTTACTAATTCAGATCTAAAGAATGTAATTCAATATAAAATCCTAAAGTGCTTAATCTTCAGAGTGTTGCAAAAGTTCTGCAAGAATTAGAAATGTCTTGTTAACATTGATAAGCAAAATGAGAGAGAATTACAGACTATTAATAATTATAAAATATTATAAATATACATTGGGTATCACTACGTGTGAAGCACTGTGCAAAGTAAATAATATACAAATACTAATTAGACAATGCTGATATCTCCAGGAAGCTCAAACTGATTGGAAGTGATTGTACGTCAAGAATAAGGCAAAAGAAAACTAATCTAATGCAGTCATAGGCAGACTATCATAACACCCGAAAAGGAGTAATGGCTCAACAGGCTGAAGGAGTGACAGCTTTTGAATAGGGATGTTGACAATAGAGGCACAAAGGAAATTAAGTGATAACTGAAGGTTTTTAAGTGTTAAAGTTAAGTCTGGTGTTCACAGGGAATGTTTGAACACAGACATGAAGTTTAAATGTGAAGATGTTCAAAATGATGAAAATAAAATCATGGTTGTTTAGGAGTATTTGGGAGAGATGAAGGTGCAAAGTTACTTTGGAGTAGTTATCCTCCAATCAGACTTTGTACCTAACAAGGTATCTGAAAAAGTCCGATTTTGTTTTTGTTTTTGGTGATGGTTGGTTTTTGTTGCTGTTGTTTAGTTTTCTAAGATTACTATCTATGCCAGAAAAATCAGTAGAGCAACATTTTGTGGGGAGAGGCTGAAAAATACAATCTGAAATAATCAGTGGTGTTATAGTGCTATCTTTGGTTAGATCATTGATGATCAGTTCTTCCAGTTTTTAGTAAATCCATTTGATTCATACTTAGTCTGAATTTAATGCATATTTTAAAGAGATATCCAAAGTGATTAACTTAGAATCAACTTTGTAATATACAGTGACATAAGAAAGGAAATTAGGTTATAATTCATGACAGCATTTTATATATATTGGCAAATTACAGCATGGCAGTATTCTGGCGAATAAGGTGAATGACTATTTATATTTTACAGTGGGGGAAACAGAAGTACACAGAGCCTAATGGTTTACTGAAGACCTCTTATAGTGTCTGGATAAAAGGGGGAATAAAATAATAATTTTTGCCTAAGGTCTATAAATAAATGAAGATACTTCTTGAAACCAAGTACCTGTAATTTCTGTCAATAAAATCAATGTTGCTGGTGTTTTTCACATTAAAATCCTAGGGCAGATACAAATATGGTCATGCATATAATTATAACAGAAAAGAGAAGCATTTTGATAAAATATTTTATTATTATTAAGAATAATAATATAATCATGGTTATAAAAATAACAACTTTATTAACTACAGAAACTTTATAATACGAGTCATAAGCACAGTGTTCCCTTTTTTGGGTAAGCATCCAGCTATACCACTCAATAGGCAGCTTATCAATTTCCTATTTATACACAAGACAAACAGTCATAACATCCACAGTATCCATATTCAGTTTCCTAAAGACAGAAACTTTCTGTGCAAATGGAAATTAACCTACTTAAAAGTTACACTGTCAAGATTTATAGAGTCCAGAACATTTTAACTTTTTGTATTAATAAATTCTAAATTCAGTTTAACATTGAAAAATAACTTATTTTTGGACTTTATCATGAAAAGTAGTCTATTCAAAAATTATTTATGTCTTTGTATGCAAATTAATTTTATTTTTCAAATGAGTATATATAAATATGGAATATAATTAATTGAAAGTAGCTATTTTTGAATCTCAGTAAATCAATTTAAGGTTTTTTAGTATGAGAGCTAATTAACATACTTTACTGCATGATCTCCATATCGCAAAACCAGTATTTCCTTTTTAATAATATGTTTAGAAACAACAAGAAAATATCAGGCAGCAATTTCCCACTTCTTGACAGTGTTCTTTTCAAGAGAATGTTGTGGCTATAACATTCACTTTGTATAGTACCATTGGTACCAACAAGAAATATTCACAGGAATAAGTGAAATACAATTTTGCTATCACATGCCATTATTGTTATTTTTCTTGCCTTCCAGTGTCTCACATTTTCCATAATTTGAAACACTTAGATAGCAAGCAAGAGCCTGATAATACTAGAGACTGAATTAATATGTCTTACTGAGGACCTGCCTACAGCAAATAGGTAAAAGTATTATACATTTTACAATAAAATTAAAGTAGTATACAAAAGGATTATCATCCCTTCTGCACAGCAGAGGCATTATGACAATATTTTAATTTTATATTCCATTTCCTGGTAGACATAAGAAAATGTCTACAATTATACCAGTATATAACAATTATCTAAACAGGTAAAACAAAAATAGCATTGAAAACTTCTGATTTAAAATGTCCTTTTCCCATGATGCAAAATAAAATGGATTATTGAATAAATTTGATTTTAAAAATTATTTGTAGTTTATTCAGAAAAGAACACCCGGTAAATAGTATTTTTCATCAGAGAATAATGACATGATTATACCCTGTTCTACCACTTAAAATAACATGGATCTTGATCATCTAGCATTCAATGTCAAATCCACTCATTTCCCTTTCTCACAAAGGAAACTCCCCAAAGAGAGAATTGACTGATGATGATTTACTGGTGTTGTAGTTTTTATCCTTTAATAAAACGAAAAACACTGAGTTCAAAATGTCTAAATAGTTAGCTGCATCTTGTATCTAGGTAATCCTTATCTTTCTTTCCATGGAAATTTAGAGAAAAAGACATAAAAGAAGTATTTTTAAAATGTGAATATTTTAAAAGTATTACAGTTTTTATAAAAGTTTTACAATATAATTAACATGTGACAATAAAATTTGGCTGGTTCAGCAAGAAGAAACTAAGAAGAGTACTTTAATATTTTGGCAATATGCCCTTGAAATTTCTATGTTTTTATTAAAATGGTGTATTACATAAGGGAATGAAAAATACAATCAGATAGAATGAGGTGGATTAGCAAGTAGTCTGATCGCCTTTTTGCTTCCACTTTAAGATTATTGATACCAGTCTATCCTATTGCTCTATTATTTCATTTCTCAACAAATGCAAGACCTTTAGATAAGCATGACAAATGCAATAATAAATATGGTAATTTGACTGTTATTATAATTCAGAACACACAATTTAAATGAATATAACTCTTGGCATTAGAAAACATGAAGCAGCAGATTCAACTCTACTTTTAAAATATAATTAAATACAGAGTTTAGAAAAACTAATTTTTTCCCTTTCCTCTGACAACCCTTCTTTTACTTGAATAAAGCTTTATTAGGCTAAAAGACTCCCAGGTTGAGAAAAGTATTTTCGTTTTTTCCTTTAATATATACTTTTTTGCATGAGTTGATCATGAGATATTTACAAAACTTTGGATACATATGAAAATTCTCTTAAATAATTTTTTAATATTTGAGGAGACTAAGCTAGAAGCCAATTACAGCAATAAAGTCTTAGACTTAACCTCCTTAAATACATTTTTAATGACCAAAACACTTTTAAACTTCTTCAATTAGATAATTTTCTGAGAATTTTAGAAATATTTTATGAAAATAGATTTACAAATATCTTGCATAAATATCGGCCCTAAATTTGGAGGAAAGAAATAACACAAGTACAACTCTTATCCTCTTTCTTTTAAGAATTAGAAATTACATAAAATAACTAGGATAATAAATATATGTAAACACCTAGATTAAGCATTATTTAACTCTGTGGATCATGACTACACCTGAAATGCCAATCAATGAAGGTCATCTTTAGGCTAGCTATGGAGAATAATTTAGTCATTTCAATCTTGCATCTTTCTTTAATATTTCTACTGGTCTTCAGAAACATCTTTTTTTTTTTTCAGGAAAAACTATTGTTATGGACTTCCAAAATATTTAGGTATTACATCCAGTACACCATGATTTAAACTGTAGTGCATGCACATGTACACCCAATCATGTGAACATGGGCATGTGTTTTGTAAAAGTGTGTTTGTGTATCAGTATGGCAGGATACATGGTGAAAAGAAATGAAGAAGTATAAAATATGGCATATGAAATGTAATATAATTCACTTATAGGGTTACAATTTAAGGACACCAGGTATAAACTGTTTTGGTGAGGTTAAAATAACATTTAACTTATGGCTTATTCATTATTAAGAAACTAATCTTAGGAAGCAGCGTAGGGAGATTAATTGATCTTTTCCATTAAATGTTTTATCATCCAGCAATTATACCTGTGCATTTTTTAATCCATTCAAGTATCTTCAGGAGATATGTTACTATACTTGCATGTACCTTAATTCACTTCAACATTTACAAAATAACACTGACAAACAAAACAAAACAAAACACCCATAAACATTAATGAGTATTTTAACAAATGTGACTCTCAAGTAGTTGTCTTAGGATTGTTTTAAGCGACATTTTAAATTCCACATTCTCTGACATTTTCATGTAAAAAAGAGCATATTGATGGATGCTGTAGACACACTTACTTCAGCTACAACTGTGACACTTTATATGTTAAAATAATTTTGTGTATCCATTTTGCATAATATGCTACTCGGACAAAAATACCAGGACGATTTGGAATGGCACATCCACGGCCAGGAACAATAACACCAAGAACCATTCTCATTTTATGTTGTTCACAAATAAGTGGGCCACCATAATCCCCCTAGGAAAAGACATGCAACAACAAAGTGTTATTAGAAATAAAAATAATAATACATTAACGTTATCCTATATAGATGTACATCTCATAGGTACATACACACACAAAAAACAAATAACCGCAATTGAAATATAAAGATAAAAATTAGTGTACTAGACCATTAGCTGTCCTTTTACTGAATTAGTTAGGTAAGACTGATATAAGTACAAAGTTCAAAGTATTCTGTCATGTGTAGAATTCACTTAAGAATAGCTAGACTTTTTGAAAATATTCCCTTATCACCTAAAGTGTGCTTTTCTTTGTTGCATGCGGACTAACATATTGATACTTATTTAATAAGGTATATTTTATATTTAGTTTGAGCTTCTGATGTTCAATGCAGAAAAACTGGAACAAATAGAAAAATAAAAGTAAAAATGACATTTTCTTTTATTTCGAAAGTTTTTATTTCCCTTCACCAACCCTACCCCAAATGATCTTAAAAGTTAAATTTAAAAAATTATAAATGATAAAATAATTATATTGATTATTAAAACAATAATAATTATAATTGTGTTTTCAGGCAAGAATGTTCCTTCACTTACTATTAGTATTAATAGTTAATATTATATTTAACACCCTCCTTTCTGGAGGGTAGCTTATGATTTAATGGCATTTCTTTATAGTAAACCTGTGGTATTATCAGATAGAGATAGATGAGAGTTGAAGAAATAGATTAATTTGTGTTGGTATGTATATATATTTTATTTATATATAATAAATACAATAAATGAATAAACATAATCGATATATTATATATAATAAAAACACATATAAATATAGAATATATACACATATAATTAATACATATAAACAATACCCGTATTGTTATGTATAACCATTACAACTGTGCTATATGATTTTCATGTCCCATGTTGACTCCTAAGAATGTAAAGACTGACTTTTGGTATCCTTATGTGAAGAAAAATGTTTGGACTACATTGATTTTTTTTTTCCCCAACAGTGGTGTGGTGAAGTAAAACTAAACCACCACTAAATTTACTTCTGTGATGCAGATGGAAAAAAAGAGAGCCACTGACATTCTATATTGGGGAAAACCAAGGTGGGGATTACGTAGAAAATCAAACAGTAAGGAAAAACAGTTTATTACAAGGGACTTTGTATAAACTATGCCACATGAGGTAGTAACACTGATTCTTAAACAAATACACCAGAGATTACTAATACGAACGCGTCAAAGTAATTCACTCTGGAGACTTTCACAAAATGTGATGTTATTTCTTTATACACTTGGGAGATTTCTACTTCAAATTTATTTCACGGTTAAACTACCTTAATTTAAATGTCAATGATGCAGTCTTTAAAAAAATTCTGGAAGATAAGACTTTGGAGAAGTGGCAGAATCAATTTGAAGTCAAGTCTCAACAACAAGGATGAAAATAATAAATATGGTATAAGGGAGAAATATTTCAGTGCTAAAGTAAGGTAACAAAACATGTACAGTTGATAAACCAGATTAACGGCTATTCTTAAAAAGCAGTTGTCAGCCAGGCTCGGTGGCTCAGCCTGTAATCCTGCGCCTTTGGGAGGCTGAGGTGAGTGGATTGCCTGAGCCCGTGGGTTCGAGACCCACCTGGGCAGCGAGACTTCATCTCTACAATAAATCAAAAAATCAGCTGGGCATGGCAGCGCATGCCTGTAATTCTGGCTACTCGGAAGGCTGAGGTGGAAGGATCGCCGGAGCCCAGCAGGTCCAGGCTGCGGTGGCCGGGAGCGGCCACTGCACTCCAGTCTGGGTGACAGAGTGAGACTCCAACTCAAAAACAAAAAACAAAAAAAAGCAGTTGTCAAGTCGTTTTTAGTAATGGCAATAATCCTATGATCTCAAAGACTGAGTCTAGCTCAAAATTTCTGTGCTCATGGGACTCTCATTCCTTTTTTCTCCTAGTAAATTTGTCCTTGATATAATGGCCATGGTAATACTGATGCAATGGAAAGGTGCAGATTTGAAACTGGTTATAAACACATAACATGTTTCTAATCTATCATCTTAAAGCAGCTCTAAAACCCTAATTTAGTAAACACTACCTTTTTGGGAATTAACTCTCAGAGCAAAGTGTATAACACGTGCATTTCAAAACATATTTATATCCCATATTTAGAGCACACATTTTCTAACATATCAAAGAACATCTCACTATTATTGAACTTATTTTATGCTTTGCTCCACATAGTATTTCACAATTCTACAGCTTCAAGACATGGAGAACATGTCTCTCACATTCAAAAGATAACTAAAATAACAATTTAACAGATTGTCTATGTAAAATAGGGATAGGAACACTGCCAAGTTGAAGTAACAGTTGCCTAACGAATAAAAATGTTCAAGTTCTTAAAGTCACAAACTTTGACCTTTAGGTTTTTAAAAATAGAATTTACTTACACACACACACACACACACACACACACACACACACACACACGCACACACACTAGTGTACCCAAAGCCAGATTTAAAAATTTAAAGCGACACATGTATCTTTTAATCATATTATTAATAGGGTTCATTTAAGGAAAATTTGGGAAGATCAAATAAATTTAGAAAAATGTATTATATCAAACTGATTTTAATACTTCCAATATACGTAGCTTTCCCTTAGAGTTTCTTGGCTGTATTCATTTATTGTTCTTTTGAGAGACAGATGTCATTATAGTTTGCTGCTAAGATAACATGGGATAATAGTTATTTTTTCCAATCATCTGTGTAAGAACAAGTTTGTACACAGTGGTTTTGATTTGAGAAAAATAAACAGGAAAAAATAAACACAAAAAATTAAGCTATCGTTCACACAGTGTTTATTCAAAAATTTCCTTTTTACCTCACATGGTCCTGATGCAATCTTTTCAGCCCCAGCACATATTTCAGATTCGTTCAGAGTCACCTTCCCTTGATGATACTGGCTGCATTTCTCATTTCCCATAATATAGAGATGTGCTACTCGTAATACACCATCAGAGTTGATCACTAGAATGATGGGAGTGGGGAACAGTGTATGAGCACAGGGTAAAGTGAAAAAAAATAAGAAACAAAGACTTGTTTTGAATAAAACAAGTATCGCCTTATCTTTTAAAAACTAGCTTACATCCAGTGTAGCCCCAGCCATAAACACTGCAAGTGGTCTTTTCAGGAATTGTGCATCCATAATTAGGTAAATCAATTGTACTAACAAAATCATCCAGGACAGCAGGCCTGAAAAGAGAAAATATGATGGTAAGTCCTCTTGATTGGATTCAACATAAAAATAACATAAAGTATAATGTTCATGTGAGTATGACATTTACAGAGAATGGTTCTTTAAAAAAAAGAAATGTCTAATATATAATAAAATTTGGAGTGTGTAGTAAAGAAATTAGTCATTTATTTGCTAGTATTTAAGCATAAATGGTCGTTGCTATTTTTAATCACTGTTTTACATTTTCAAGTTACCAAGTTACTGTTCACTGAGCTTAAGTTTTAAAGCCTACTGATCAGACTGTTAATCCAACTTTCTTTATTCATTTTTGAAAATTGTGCAAAAACCTATCGCTATACACACACAGGCATGCACACACATACATATATATACATATAACACATGACATATGCTTTTATAATAAGTATATACAAGAAACAAAGTATAGCCACACAGCTAAAGAAAACGCTTCAACAATTCTAATGTAGGTTAAAAATACAAAATCTTCTCAAGTAACTAACCTAGCAAGTTTCAGTAAAACCAGATCTGAACCTTCGGGTCCATATACCAGCTGGGAAACATTTAGAACCTGCTTGCGTTTCTCATCTCCTCTTCCATGGACATCATGAACCCCAAGCCAAGCTTCATAATCTTTCAAGTCTCTGTTTTCAAGTAAAAATTTAAAATGTAAAATATAATTTCCAAATTGTGTAATATTATTTCCATAGACTGTTATTTTAGCTCATGAAGGCACACAAGCACCTAAATTTAAATTTTGATTTAAAGTATAATAAAGAACAACATATTTGTTATGGATGATTCTAAATACTATAAGCAGACAGAGCTTTTAAACTGCTGAAATTCTAAATAGTTATTTTAAAACTTGAGTATGCTTGCTGGAGAGTAAGTCATATGTGAAAAAATTCTCAGGTAAAGTACTTTACATGAATTATAATTTGCTTGCAAATTTTTCTTTATTTATCTCTGCTATGTATACAATTGACTTGATAATGGTGGTTGAAGTTTTATACACACAAAATCAAATTGACTGTTGAAAAGCAGGATGTATGCTATCTTTTCCTTAGGTTAATTTTCACTGAAAATTTTGCCCAAGATGATTCTGAGGCTGGTTCTACATAAGAAAAAAAAAGTGAGGACCGAAAAATATCTGTTGATAATTTAGCGGAAAAAAAAAATTCTTTTCAGAAATGTAGGAATCAAGTGGAAGGTTGTGGTATAAATTATTTACATAATTTGAGCAAATGTTCCCTCCAACTGAGAGAATGCTAGTTGGAAAAATAGGTAAACTGAAGTGGTACCCAATAAGTAAATATCAGTTAAGTCAAAGGAAGCTTTGTAAGCTACATTCTTAAAAGAAATTAATTTGTTCACCCCATGCTGTTGAACTTCTGTAAAACGAATATATGCATCCTAACTCTAATAGCTAAGTGGAAGACATATATATTTTTAAAACCTCAAAACAAATATTGGTTTCAAAAGCACTTTACCGAGAAGGGAAACATTGCCTTGCAGTAAGAACCCAACTTTCTTTTATCAACGATCCTCCGCAGATATGTTTATTTCTATGAGAAAGAAGAAAGAGAAACAAGTAACATCTGTGCAGAAAGAGTGACTGCCAATTAATGCAAAATCTGTGGCGTCGTTTTTTTTGGTTTGTTTTTTTGGGTTTTTTTAAACAAATGCACTGCAGAGGAAAATGCAGAAATTAACCCAACTGGAATAAAATGAGTAGTCCTTTTATCTGAAGGATGATATTCAGAGACTGTAGCATTAACATTTTTTTAAAAATAATGCGATTACAATTTTATGAAATCAATTTTACTTTTGTGTAAAGAGCTCAGTTATTATACACCAGTATCCATTCCCAACACAAATATTCACATGTATGTGCATCTATCCTTGTGAGAGAAAATATATGCTACAAATATAGGATAATTAGAATTTTTAAAATGTGGACCTATTTTAAATTCAGTGTTTGATTAGGAAAAATGCAAAGTTGAGTTTTTATTTAAATTCTGAAAACGCTCTGGTAGTAGAAATAAATATTATTTGTATCCTATTTATTTCTTCAACTACCACTATGTGGTATTGATATGTGAACTTAAAATATAACTGAGTTTGAATAAATTTTTGTTCAGTGTAAGATCAGCAATACACTATTTCATTTATAAATATAAAACAGTTTTGCAAGACAAATCATTTAGGAAATTGTAAAATATTTGTAGAGAATACTGAGTATTAGGACATTTATTTTCTGATATCCAAAATCTATAAATCCATTCTTTTTTTGGCAGAGGCATGGATAAAGTGCAAATTTTCACAATTTACATTTCCAAAGAGTACAGATGTTCAGTGCTTCAGAGGGTAACACTAGAAAATTCCCAGACTAAGACCACAGTTATTTATGGACTTCACCACACAAGAGGATAAGAGTATATATCGAGTTCTAATTTCTATTCCTCTCAGTATGTATTTTGGAAGAATAACCAAGCAGATGTTGTTCCTAAGAACTTGGATTTAAAAGGAAAAAAATTTCTAGAAGTTACAGTACTCTGATCTGATGGAAAAAAAAGGGCTTCACCTGCTTCTATAAAAACAGAGATTACCACAGGAGTATCCTTGTTTATTCTATTGTTGGTTAAAAAATAATTTAGAAGTCTATGTCTTCCTTTTCCCTCTGCATTATAAGATTAGCAAAGAAGCACTAATTAACTTAGAGATGTGGATTCTTGGAACATTTTCTGTAATAAGGAAAATTAAACACTCCAATAAATGTAAAGTCTTTATTAAATCCTTATATAACACAATTAGCACAGAAAATAGTTTCACAATTCTTTCTCAGTATTACACATCTAGTACAGCTACACTACAATTATTGGCATAAATATTTATAAAATCTGATGAGCTATAAGTTATCCCTGAAAAGGACATACAAAAGAACTTACACCATCTCCTACAAAATTACTGTCACTTAAGGTCATTGTATATCAAAGGATATAAACTCTTGAATGCCAAGAATTGATTTATTCATATAATGACTTTGGTTTCAGTTGTCACTATTCTATTTTATTATAAATGTGATTTAACGATAGTAAAAAAGATATACTTTCTTCCTTTACTCTAGGAGGTTTAGGGTGAAGGAATAGGATAGTTTCTAAAAGAGGAGAAATTCAAGTTGAGATTTGAAGAATGAGAAAGCATTTTCAGGCATTAAACATAGAGGAAAAAAAGTACAACATGCAGTGGGAACAACATCTCAAAGGCCTGGAGGGAAAAACATGTGCTGTCTAGAAAATCAGAGAAAATGTGCTAGATTCAGGTGTATTTTGGGGTGTGTTGCATGATGAGGTTCTGATATGGATAGAGACATAGATCTTTTAGCATTCTAATCACCATAGAGAATAACGTATGCAATAAATAAAAAATTGTAAGGTCAGATTTAAGTTAACTTGTATTTATAATATTTGATTGTCTGAAATATTTATTAAGCTTAATTTTCTTTAGTGACATGATTTGCAAAGTGATTTTACATAGAGTATGTCATTGCAAGCAAACTGAGAAACAGACTTATCAAGAATTGTTTATCCATACTGTTAATATTATATCAAGATTACTAAAAAATCAATATAGTGTGTTAATCTTTATTGTAATTATAAAATATTCTAAAATTCAAAATTGCCATTTTTCATTTAAATGACAAGGAAAACATCAGAAATTAAAAAAATATAAAATGTCTGATATGATTATGCATGCATGTTAGAAAATAAACTCATTCTAGATTAGAAAATTAATAACACGTATTACAATCTCTATGTTGATATTAGGGTATAAATTGGCCTCTATATAGTTATTTTTTGCTTATTCAGAACCAAAGTGTATTTTGGAATCAGGAACAATGCCAACACATATGGATGGTTCCATTGTGAGCATTTAGAAAGTCACTATCTCTGAAGGCACAAACTGCAAAGGTCAGAGCTTTCAGTTTGGCAAGCAGAATGTGATTAGTCCCCTCTTTTACCTTCTCAGTTAAGTGCTATAAGGATGACACAACCTTTATGACCACATGTAGACATATTTCTGGGAATATAACTTCAGCAAATAGTCTGAATATGTCTGATGTGCTTTTATTAATAATTACCTGTACTTCAAACTAACCATCCATCCTACATTTGTTCGCGTTGGAATCCCATTTACAACTCTCAATTGTTTTGTTTTGGCACAAGATATTACAGGATCTGAAAACAGAATCAAACGTTTTAAAATAACATTTTGAAATAATCAGTGCCTGTCAGTTTCCTTAACTATAATAATCAATAGACAGATGTAACTATTGTTTGTTATTGAGTCAAATGAAAAGTTTGGAGAAAGAGTAGTTTTATATGACCACAGTACCATGATAGTCCCTAATGTTTACCAACCTTATCTAGGGAGGTGAGTGACACAGAAAAACTAATCAACTCCAGGCAGACAGGATTGCCATACTAGTAACAGGGCGTCTGCTCACCATGTGCTAAGATCAAGTTCATCAGGCCTAACACTAATGTATTTCCTTCACTACCCTCAGCATCAAGTGAACCAGGATTATTTATAGTGTTTATTTCTAAATGTCAATAGAAATCAATAGACTGAGGAAGAAAATAAAACCGAACAACATTTGGTTATTACTTCTGAACTTGTACATTATGAATGTAGAGCTATTTTGAAACATGTTACCAACATTAATTTACTGAAATTATATCCAAATGACATTATTATATTCAAATTATTATGTCCAAATTGCATAAACAGAATTCTTTGGAGTAAATGTTTTCCTGATCTTCTCTGTCCTTCATCTTATCCTCTCTATTTCCATTTTCTTCCTTAGCCCGGGGCACAGCAGGTGGTCTTTTAAACCAAAACACTCAAGTGACCTCCTCCAGCTCAAGAAATATGTGAAAATCAAAAACAAGCAACTCCCAACAGATTCTTAAACTGAGGATTAACTGAACCTCTCAGATTATATAATCTTTTGACTAATAGACTGTAGGCCATGCAAAAAGCTTTCAACCAAGAGCACTGAATAATTTTGCAATTTTCAGGTTTCATTCTTTCTGACTTTAGCATCCTGATTTTATTTAAAGGATTGGGTATAAAAAGGTGGTCCATTATATGCATTGTGCCCCAAAGTAAATGTAAATGCTGTCTTCAAAATCACATCTAACATCTTATAGATTTTCTGAGGGATAACTGAATTTTCATACTCAGTTGCCTTTGAAACTCCTTTATACCTACATGCAGAAAAAAATACTTTGAAAAGAAAAACAAAAACTTATTTTTATGAAGCAAATTAATACAGATAATTTTCTATGAATAAAATAGCGATGTTATTTCTGACACATAGAGACTTAAATATATTTTATATTTTAAAAGATTACTTACGGTCTAAATTGACTATTGTAGGTGTGGTATCACCTTCACCTGTAAAAACAAATGTATAGATACATAATAATTCATATATACATGTTTCTATTATATAAAACTAAAGCTATATATTAAAATCCAAGTATCCATGAATTGGAATATTTATTGAAGTTCTTTATATTTTACTCAAAGGTAAAATGTAATAGTACTCTTTTGAGTAATTATGAATCAGTTTTGCCAGATGATATTTTAGGTATATGTTAACTGGTACTAGGTAATGTGAGCAGAGTCTTATTTTATGACTATGAAGGCTTTAAGGTGTGTAGTTTGACGGCCATTGACAGCTTGAATTACATTGCTGGCATAAAGGAGCAGCCTAATTCTACCAAGATGCCCAACAGTGTATACAATGGGCATTCCACTGAACAGCACTAATGCACCTAATTGTTTGCTTGGATGCTTCATATAGAAAGGCCATACTGTTTTTACTATAATTTACATCATTGCCATTTTTTGGTGAAAATTTTTATTTTTATATGGTTAAGGATAATTGAAACTACTCATACTTCAGAAATTTCTGCAGAAATTCTAAAAGATAGGAATCCATGTACAGATAACAAAATATAATGATGTTTTCTAGTTAGAATATTTCAAAGACTGTTTTTCCCAGATGTTAGTAAAAAAATAATAATAAGCATGAGAAGAGAACACTGAAGATTAACTCTAGTTAATCTTCACAATCTAGTTAATCTAGTTAAAATCTCATAACTTACAACATTTTCATCTCTATTGGGGTTTAATTGCGGCAAAGAGGAAGGCTTGGAAGATGCTAGGATTTGGAAATACTTATGCAGTAATAAATGAGACACAAGACATTTCCTGGAGCTTAACGTTTAACTTTTTATAATTGATGGCATAGAGTTCAGTCAGGCACTGTTTAGACCCAGATGGTTGTTAATGCCTGGAAATGCACTGTGCGCAAATAAACCAGCAGCAAAACAATAATGGCATATGGACTCCTTTGTAAAAGATGCAAATTTGATTGTTAATTATGAGGCTAGTTGAGAGAATTAATACATGCTTATTCATGTTAATTTTCCAAATCAAGATATTTTCAAAGCAATTTCTTTCTCTTTCCCCTCAGTTTATCCTAGAGGAGGGTTTTATCTTAGAGTCAGTTGAGGTCAATATTTTAGTTCATAGCATAATTTAAGATCAAGGCAGACTATGGTAATGAAAACATCAAGAATATTTATTTTTCCATAAAGTCAACTGCTTGAAAATGTTGAAGTGAGAAAGTAGATATTTATTTCTTATATTGTGATGAGAAAGACCAAACTATTGATTCTATTTTTAAATGTATATTAAGTCTTATTCCTAAGGATCAAGTTAATATGTCGACAAAGCACTTAGTTCATTCTTGATCTTAGCAAAATACTTAAGTTTTCAAAAATTTACAGATATTGTAATTCTGGGTTTAACAATGAATAGCAAAATATATGTTTGTGTCCTATAATTCACAATTTTTCGTACTTTAGAATAAGTTGAAATACCATTTTAAATTAGATTTCTGCAGATTCTGGTCTGGTGGCTGGATCCTGAACTTTTAAAAAGCATTCTAAGTTCTTTTGTTGTACACTTTGAGCAAAATTTTTATAAACTCTCTAGGTCATTCCCATTTCACGATCAAATACTATTCTCACATTTCTTCTTTTACTTTCCCTACTCTCTCTACCACATTACCCATGTCTGAAAAAAAATATGTGATACCAAACTTATTTTGTATTGGTTCTACTTAAATTTGAAGAAGAAAAACTTGTCAATGATAAAAGTTTTAACAATGGAAGAATAGATTGTATTGTGTGAGGTAGAGCCTGTATTTGTAGGGCCTCAGAACCAAACATGAACTGTTACTGAAAACATAAGGAAACTCTTCTTTTACTATATTTTTAAAGCTTCAACTCAAGTTTAAACATTTGTGAACATCACATGTTTCTCCAGGCAGACATCTATGTTCAAATTTTCATTTCATATATTAATATATATTTATTACATGATTTTGTTTTATAATTGTTTTCATAAATGTCTCCATCTTATACTGTAAACTATTGAGGTTAAAGGGTAGTATTTATATTTTTATATACCTAGCATATTATATACAGAGTTTTGCACACAATAGCTGCTCAATAAAAAATAATGAATAAACTAATAAATAAAAACGGAAATAGAAATTAAGTTGAGTATGTAACATGTCCTATTCACAATAGTCTCATATGATAGTACTTTTATTATACAATCTTGCAAATACAGAAAATGAGTCATAAGTAGGTTGAGTAACTTGCCCAAGACACTTATAATGTGATGGTTCTAGAATTCTTACTCAGGAAGTCAGAGTTAAAGTTCTTAACCATTCAACTTTCAATAGTTAAAACTTAAGATTTTCTAAGCTATACTAGAAAAAGTATATTTTAACTAAGCTTAAAATGTAACATTATTTTCTAAGCATTTTAGAAAAATAAATTAAAACCTTTACATGTGTTACATGAGAAATCTGCAGTGTGAAAATGATGTATACAGTTTCTGCAGTTATATAAGTAACTAGAACTCATAGCTTCTAAAGATAAATGTCGTTAGCCTTTCACCAGGGAGAAAATGTAAATAAATCTGAGCTATAAATATTAGTTGGAAAAATGACAGTGTAAAAATCCTTATTGAAATTAATGTTTAGCATACATAGAAATAAAAATGAGTTATCTGCAATAGCATTTAATCAAATACTAGCAATACGCTAAAGTTTTTCAATAGCACATTACTTTTAGTTTAAAAATATTAATTGAAAAAAATTTGAAAAATTTTAAATTATTAGAGTCCTTTCTCCCTTAGTTCAGCTTGTAAACCAAATCACAGTGCCCTGAGATTTCTACAGGAGCATTTTATTCTTAACTACACATGTGTGCTAGATTGAGAGACTGTGATTTTTACAAATCTTAAATTCAATGGAGAAAGAAGTATAACCTGTTTTAGAAGCCAGATGACTGACATTTTTTCTTCTTAGAGCATGGTATATTCTATGTGCCTCTATAATTTTTAATCATAAAGACTCCACATAAAGATATTGTCATAAAAATAATAATTACAAAAACTATAATTTAAAAAATATTTTTTAATGACATCCTCTGGAGAAGTAGGTCTGCTTGTTTGCTTATTTGAGTATTAACACTTGAAAGACATCTTTCTTGAAAGAACATTTTCAGGGCCTATGTAAAATGCTAATATGGGAAAAGTACAGAACATAGGAAAACACTATTAATTTGAAAGGCTATGATAGTGTCTGACAGAAAAAAAATATAATAATTGGAAATATCATTTATTTGCAAACATATAAGTTGCTTAGTAATTTATTATTATAAAGAATGTCCCAACATACTCAAAACAGGTTGAACAATTCCAAGTCTTAATTATAGATATTTGATTAGCCTATTTAAGAAGTTTGCCTTTTAATCCTACAATTTCATGAAACATGACTAGTGTTTCCACTTGAGGTGAAAATTCAATCTTTAATTTGATATAAATTCTGGAAAAAAATAGACTTGTGTTTGTATTTCTTTGTTATTATTATTTTTATTTTAAGGGTGTGGGATACAATTCAGGGTTAGGCACATATTTCGTTTTTAAAGCAACATTATTAATTTTTCAACTGAATCTCCTTTTAGAGTGGATATTTTTACTGCTATTCTTATGGTACTTGCTACTATTATTTTAACAAGGAAAGCATCCTAAAGCAACGTTCTTATTGAATTTTAAAAAATACGTACTTTCCGGAAACAAGATACTCTTAACATGTGGTCAAGGATGTTTGCTGTAAACATGAGCTATAGATAAGTAGTGTAAAATGGTTTCTTAATACTGATACAGCTTTATAAAAAGAATTTTTCACTTAATAACATATTAAAGGCATATTTCCACCTCAGTACATATTGATCTATATCAGTGGTTGTCAGTAGGGATAATTTTGCCTCCAAGGGGTCACTGGCAATGTCTAGAGATATGTTTGATTGCCACTACTTGGTGCAGGTGTGGTGCTACTGGCATCTAGTGGATAGAGGCCAGGGATACTACAAAACATTCTACAATGCACAGAACAGCCTCCCACTACAAAGAATTATCTAACCCCAATAGTCCATGTGCCAAGGCTGAAAAGTCCTCATCTATATCAATGGTACTATTGCTTATGATACATTTTCCCAAACTGACTTCCAGGCAGAATTTTCAATTAACACTGAAAGTAGCATAGTACTGAAAGAGAGCTTGATTACTCAGACTGATTACTAATATTGACTATTGACAATCATTTTATTTGCCAACATGATAGGTAGAAATGATTTCTCATGCTGTTTAATTTCATTTTTTTCTTGCTAGTATTAATGTATTTACATTTCATTATTAACTATATTCTAGAAGTTGTATTTTCTTCTGAGTTTTCACATCTTTTTGTTATTGATAGATACAGAAGCTCCTTTATATGAAGTATATTAGACATGAATTTTATATGAAGTATATCAAACATGTATTATGTGTTCTACTTATGTATTTTACTTTGTACATTGATGCCTTTTAACAAAGTCATGTTGGACTCAGATAAGTCATGTTGGACTCAGATAAATCTCCAGGTTCTTCTTATTTTTGAGTTAAAGAACTGCCGGGAGTGGGAAGGCACATCTTATCAATAAAGGTACCTGCATAATGAACATTTGCATACCTAAGCCTGAATTGTAGCCCACATCTTTAAAATAAAAACATTAAAAGCTAAAAAAAAGAAAGAAAGAAAGAAGGAAAGGGAAAAAAGAGCTGAGAAGGAGATGGAAACATCACCATTTCGTCTACTCATGAGTCTTTTAGTGGGCTGGAGACTTTGCTGAGATATACTATTCAGAGGCTGAACTGGTAGTATTGGTCCTGGAGTGAGGGTGGGGAGATCCTTCCAGCCCAGTCATACTAGAACCATAGCCATTTATTGCTTCTGGATCCCAAATAGAAATCTTCTGAGGAAAGAAAATCTATAAAATATTAGCAGAATTTCTTCTTACCTAGAAGAGTGGAGAGATACAGAGAGAGAGAGAGAGAGAGAGAGAACGTATGGTGTGTGTGTGTATCTCTGTGTGTTGCCCTCTGGAGCATTCTCATTTGGGGATCAACTCCAGACCTGTATTTTTTCTAACTCTGATTAAGGTATCATTTTAGAGGAGATGCAGTATAGGAGTATATTTTAAATGTTTTACATGAAAAAGACCTCTAAGTGTACTTACAACGAGAAATAGGGCAATAATCCCAAGGAATGAGTGGGTTCCCTGTGTAGCACCAGGGCCCATGGGCATCATCATCTGGATTCCGGCAGTAATTCTCATTCAGCTTACTAGCATCTGGCTCCCAGAAGATATGACTGCAGAAAAAATAAGCTTTGAACATCACAAGATGCTCATCCCATCCAAGAGAAACAAAATATTAAAAGACGATATAATCCTAGCACATTATTATTATTGTAGATAGAACACAAGCTTCTACTTGAGGTAAATTTCAGTTATTTTGCTTGATTATCTACTTTGTTGCTGCTGCTGTTCTTACAGTTGGGAAACAGATTTTCTAACTCGGGAATATGAAATAGGGCACTATAATCAGCATATATAAAATGATGAGAAATTTTGTGACTGTGCCTCTATTTAATTATTGCAATGGCAAAGTGACAATAACTCTGTGCATGGAAATAGAGAAGCACTGTCTAAAACAAGCACTGTCTAAAACAAAGATTAAAGTGATAAAATACATAGAAAATATAAGCTATTGTGACCAGGCTCAGTGGCTCAGCCTGTAATCCCAGCACTTTGGGAGGCCGAGGTGAGTGGATTGCCTGAGCCCGAGGGTTCGAGACCCACCTGGGCAACTTGGCGAGACCTCATCTCTACAACAAATCAAAAACTAGCCGGGCGTGGTAGCGCGCCCCTGTAGTTCCAGCTACTTGGAAGGCTGAGGCTGAAGGATTGCCAGAGCCCAGCAGGTCGAGGCTGCGGTGGCCGGGAGCGGCCACTGCACTCCAGTCTGAGTGACAGAGTGAAAAAAAAAAAAAAAATATAAGCTATTGTAAAAGCATTTTTCACACTTCAGATACATATGAAACATCGCTAGCAATATCATTATGACAAAGAACAGAAAAATACACTGTAAATTAATAATGATATGCTAATGAAATTATTAAATTCTAAATTTTACTGATCATATAATTACAAATATGATTTTCTGAAAGATAACTGAATAATACCTCGTTTTCTAATTTACATCTTAACTAAATTTATCACAAAAGACAGGCAAAAATACTATATATTATTTTATAAGACCATGTCCATACATGTAACATTAATATTTACACTGACTTCAGTAACATCAGTGAAGTCAAATTTTACATGGCCACTCAAAATCAAGTCATGAAAATGATATATCTAACTAAATTTGTTGTGTTAATTGCTATTATTCTTGAATATGTGTCATTTTAAATAAATTTTTTTTTTTTTTTTTGAGTTGGAGTCTCACTCTGTCGCCCAGACTGGAGTGCAGTGGATGTTCCCAGCCACCGCAGCCTCGACCTGCTGGGTTCCAGCAATCCTTCCGCCTCAGCCTTCCAAGTAGCTGGAACTACAGGTGCGCGCTACCACACCCGGCTAAATTATTTTTTATTTATTGTAGAGATGAGGTCTCACCAAGTTGCCCGGGTGGGTCTCGAACCCTCGGGTTCAGGCAATTCACTCACCTTGGCCTCCCAAAGCGCGAGATTACAGTCTGAGTCACCGAGCCCGGCTTAAATAAATTTTGAAAGAGTTTGAACATAGAAACTTGAACTATATTTCTGGACCAAGAACAATAGCAAAAACATATAGTACTTACTACCTGCCAGATTATGCTTTAAGTTTTTTATAAATTCAAGTTTAGATCAATCTTATGAGACAGACTCTAAGATTATGCTACATTTCATTTGAGGAAACTGAAAGGACAATTAATTGTCTAAAGTCACCTGGCTTGTAAACAGTGGAGTTGGGGTTTTGACCTATGGCTGTTTCAAACCACCATGCTCTATCTACCCCTTACATAGTTTCTTAAACCCAAATGGTAGAATGCAACTTAAACATTGACCAATTTCCCACAAACTGATTCCAAAATCAAACCTAAACTCAATTAAAAGTTATTACCATTGGGAACTTCTAAATAAACATAACACATACTTGCAGTGGTCTGCTGCTGTTTAACAACTGGACTGTGAGGTGCGTGTATATTGGGGAGGAGGAGTTGTTATTTGTAGTCCTTTCTAATTTCTAAGGTGTAGTAAATACTTCCACCATGAAATTTTCAAGTCTCCAATGTAAATCATAATAGGCAGCATTAGAAAGAGATGGGAACAAGTATTCTCACAAGTCCATATCAGTAATCCACCCTACCCACTACTGCATGCTTCTAAAAATGCTTTTAAATGTAGCAGTGCAAAAATGAGCATTTAATTTTAATTATGCCAATTATTGCTTAAAATTCTTTAATAACTCATATTAATGCTCAAGATAAAATTTCAATTTCTTAACTCAGTTTCCAGGACTCTCTATATAGTGTTGCCACTTGAGAATTCCTTCTCTGTGGGTATTGACCAAATTACATTCTTTCAGCCTTACCAAAATTATTTCCTATATTAATTATTTCCTTCAATGTTTTGTCCTTTGCACATGCTATTTCTTCTTCTTATACATTCTTACCAATTCCTACTCATCATATATGCCCCAGCTAATGTCCTTCCTTTAGAAAGTCTTCTTGACCATCTAAGTCGGGGTAGGTACTTCCTTGCATTCCCTTAGCATATAAAGTATGCTGTCTTTCATGGTTTTTATAATATGGTATTGGCATTTCTTGTTTGTTTGCATCCCATACTAGTACATGAAATCCATGAGGGAAGAACTCTGCTGCTCTTTGAAGTCCTAGAACTATGGTTTCCAATATGGAAGCTACTCACCACATGAGGCTACAGAGAAATTGATATATGGGTAGCCAAAATTGAGAGGTATTATAAGTGCAAATAGATACTATATTTTGAACAGAGTATAAAAAATAAAAGATGCCATTAATAGTTTTTATAATTAACCTATATTGAAATGAAAATACCTTAGATATATCAGATTAAGTAAAATATATTAAAATTAAATTTACCTGTCATTTTCACTTCTTTAAAAGTGGTTACTAGGAAATTAAAAAATAAATATGTGGCTTACATTTGTGAGTTGCATAATATTAGAAAACATTACTTTAAAACAATACGTGTTTGTGAAGTAAATTAATCCAGTATTTAATACATTTGGTACAAGAATAAGGGATTTAAATTAAAACTGAAGCAAAATGACTCAACCTCTGAACCCTTAAATTCTATATCCACATACAGAAATACAGTGTTATTTTATCAAGGACCCGGGGTCCTTGATCAAATAACACTAACGTCTTTTCTTTTATTTCTAGTGCATATATTCTGGGATGTTTACTAAAAGTCTGTCACAATTATGCGTCATACTTCTTTTGCAATTTTGTAAATACTAGCACTATTGCTAAGGTTAAGTGGATGCTAGGTAGCTTCTTTGTGATTATACCCAATATAAAACCTTGTAATTTTCTGAAATATAGTCTTTTTTCCATCATACATACATTCCTGTAATTATCACAAAATTTTATGCATAAAAGCTACACAAGCAAACTTGTAAATAAAATTGTAATGGTTAAATGGATACAAACATATGTATATGAAAATGATCATTTATTGATATTTCATAAACTAGTATTATTATTAAATGAGAACATAATAATGCTAAAACATGCACTATTCAAAACACCAGATTTGTAAGTTAATTATACATTGTCTTACTAAGTTTTGTAATTGTTTTCTCAATGTGACCATATCCTACCTGAAGGTGAAACCAAAATATGTGCCTATTTTTTTGGTGATGTTTCATTTGGTACCATTACCAGAGCACATAGTAAATGTTCAATAAATATGTGCTCATTTAAAATATGTGTTAACTTAAATTGCATATTTAAAAGTTTTCCACACAGAAACAAAGAACTGACTGGCACATGTTCTCAATCCTAAGTGGTCACACAAGCACAAGGGTAGGAGGCCCAGATGCTGGACACTGCTAGGGCTGGGAGGGAGGAAAGAAGGAGGGAGGAGGGCATGTGCTGCACATGGCTACCTGGTCCACTACTGAGAGAAAAGAGGGTCAGCTAGAAGCCCAAACTTCTCCTGCATGCAACATACTCATGTAGCAAACCCTTACTTGTATCCCACAGCTCAAAATAAAATAAAATAAAATAATAAAGATAAAAAATTGCCTCATAGAGAGACAATGCTATAATAATGCAAAAGAAAAATCAGTCTAATGTTTTTATTATCTTGCTATGATGTATATTAAAGAATGGAAGAAATAGCAATATATGCATCTGAACATACAATCTGTTCTTATCACTAAATTCTATACGCTGAATTAGATACATTTACAAACCGGTGTAAATCTTCCATGTTCTTGTCCCACATTGAACACGTTAGTCCAGATCTTGTTTTGGATAAATTGCCCATATAATTTTTGCCATTCCCACGGTAACAATCTAGACATAATACATACAGAAAGAAGACTAATGAATATTATGGAGAATAAAACAATAACATTTCTGCAAGCATATGATATCATAAAAATCAACATAAACATTTTAAAAAAGCAATTTGAAATCTATATAAATTAGAGACTTAAATGTCTCAGTTTAAAGTGTCTATTTTAAACTCAATTTCTTCATTAATATAAGGGCTTATGTAAATTCAAATATTACAAATGATAATTTTCAAAACGAAAATGAAATAAGTGGTATTTTGGGACTCCAAAGAATTGAGAATTTGTAGAATAATATACATTTCCCAACATTTCCTTCTGCAATACCTTCTACCATAGAAAATTCCCAAGAATAATAAAATGAACACTCATATACCAGTCACATTCCTTGTATTTTGATTTTTCTTTCATGACATTGACTCTCTGAGTCACCCAAGCCAGCTGTTTTGTAATTCAACTTGTACTTTAATTCCAATTTGTTTGATTATTTTCTCATGAATAAAATCAAGTTAAAGATATTTGCCAGGAATATTGCATCAGGGATGTTTTGTTCTTTTTCAGAGCATTGTATCCTGTTTTACATGATGCCAGCTTGTTCAGTCACTGATGCTGTGTGTTTGACCACTTGGTCAAATGATGTAAAGGAAAAACTTCTCTTCAAGCTTAATAAAACAATCTATTGGGTTTTTGAGACTGAATAAACATCCTATTGCCAAAAATTTTCAGAAAATGGCTTAGCCACACTTTGATGAATTTTGCATGAATCAGTTATTACCATGCTCATTGTAAAATGGTTATTTTTCTGTTTCTAACAATTCTTTTTTTTTATTGTTAATTTTGAATATGTGGGGTACAATTCAGGATTAGGTATACCAATATTCATTATGCAGGTACCCTTATTGATGAAGTGGGCCCCCCCCTCCCCTGGCAGTTTTCCACTACTGCCAATCTCAACCCCTCTCCTCTGGAAGTTTCCCACTACTGCCAATCCCTTTCTTATAGTATTATGATAATTGTTCAAGGTCCACTTATGAGTGAGAACACATGGTACTCAGTTTTTTGTTTCTGTGATAGATGACTCAGTATTATAGCCCCTAAGTTAATCCAAGTTGCTGTGAAGTTCATAATTTTGTCCTTCTTTATGGTTGCATAATATTCCTTTGTGTATATGCACCACATTTTTTCTAATAATTTTTTATGTTTATTAGTTGGCATTCTTTGTAAAAATGAGTCTTTCCTTTTCCCTATCTCATTCATTTAGTTTTAGTAGTAGAAGCAATAGTATTCATAGTAGAAATAATTTAAATGTGAACTGGTGAATTTTTTTTTACTCATTGTGGGTTATATAATCTATGTTTGTTATTCATTCTGATGCTCAAATTATTCTGAATTTGGCCAATGGAAGCCAATTTAAACTGACTCTTGTTTCTCTTACCATGTCCCATGAGGTTTTTTCTCTTTTTGTAATTGAGCAATTTGTGTTCTTTTAACATTCGTAGAAATGTCTATCTTCTTAATCAAAAGAAATGTGATAAGAAACCAAGTTCTTCAAAAAATGTAAGTGGCGGTTTTACATTTAAAAAGAAATACCATTCTATATTTTTAAATAATACCAAATATTTCTAAGGTAACTTTATCTATTAAAGATTCTTAATTTTTATATGAATAAAAATTGTATGCTTGACAACAAAATCTTATCTCCAAATGTACATCACCATAAAAAATTATCCTAAATTCTAAATTTGGAAAAGTATAGCATATTATCATTTATATTAAAAGGTGCTATATAACTATAATAAATAATAGGATACAAATTCTAATAAAATTGATTAAACAGTTTAATTATTTGTCTAGGAATCAGTAAACATAAAGAGAATACATAAAATAAGTATATTTAATTATCATGTGTTGATATCCTTGGATCACATTTGCAACAATGCTATAAAGAATTTGGGATTTAAAAAACTTCAAATAGGATAGGATTTGATACAGATAAAAATAACTCATTACGGTACATCACCATGTTGTTGTAAGAAAGCATTAACCTGTAGAATCCAATACTGGCACACCTGAAGAATATACCAATCAAAACATGTTTCTCTAACAATACTATCTTTTTTGTATATTAAGAAAGTTTAAACCTTTGACTATCAGGTACTAAATTCCTTAGATGGAGTTTTACTGATGAAAACAATTGTGCAGCAAGTGTATTAGTACAGCTCTTTTACACATTTTTGGTTTTTTTACAACTCTATGTTAGTAGAACACAGATTAATTAAAGAGGTCTTCCCTACCACCTCCACCAGCATCCTTTCATTTGAATATGGGCTATGAGCTAAGTTTCTCTTAGCATACTTTTCATTTTCACATAGTTTTTAGTTTACAAGGAAGTTGTCAAGATAGTACAAGAGTTTTCATATATCACAGTTTTCTCTACTTTTAACATCTTACATTGCATTAGTATGACAGATTTGTCACATTTATCTAACTAATATTGATGCATTATTAAGTGAAGTCTATACTTTGTTTACATATTCTTCGTTTTTACCTAACATCGTTTTTCATATTCCAGGATCCCATATGATACCACATTACATTTAGTTATCATGTTTCCTAAGGTTCCTCTAGATGTGACAACTCAGACTGTTTTGAGGTGAATTGGTCAAGTATTTTGTAAAATTCCCATTCAATTGAGTTTTTCTGGTGTTTTCTTCTTGACTTGATGTGAATTATAGGGTTTTTAGAGGAAGGAACAAGTTTCTGAGTACTACCTAATGTTACACCCTTTCGTTTGATAACAGCTAGGCATGTGTATCTCTGTGTGTGTGTGTGTGTGTGCGTGTGTGTGTGTGTGTGTGTGTGTGGTGTGTATTTGCATGTATTTATCATGAGCAAATACTGATTCTTCTAATTCAATAGTTTTTCCACTTCTCCTCCTCACTTTTGTATAGTCTTTCTTCTACAGTGGGAACTCTTATTCCAGGTAACATCAGTATCTTTGCTCATTTTATCCATTCTACAATGCATACAATATAATTTCAAAGTTGCTACATATTAAAACTAGCAGTAAACCTGTAATTTAAAGTTCAAATTGTATTTACAGCTATTTTAGCCTAAAATATATTTCAATGAAGGTATATACACTCAGAGAAACATGTCCAAAAAGTATCTGGATTCTTTTGTCTTTTCTGTAGCAATAGTATACCTTTGACATACACAAAGCCACGGTTCTGTTTTTTATTCCATATTTATCTTTTTAAATATTTAAAATATTAACAAGGACTAACAGTCAAAACCACATAAAAGGATGTATTTACAAAAGTGTCCTTTTCCCTTTCCCTTCGGCTTCCATGTCATTTCATTTCTGCTTCCTAAATCATTGTAAGTAACCAATTCCATTAGTTTCTTTTTCATGGCTCTGATGTGTTTTGTTTTCTCTACTTTTCTAGCAAAACTAAGCTGATACATAATATACACACATATCTACATATGCAATATAAATATACAAATTTGTATGTATATGTGTTCCATATATGTATTATTATATTCCATTTTTTATTACCAGCAGTAAATCCCTTTTTTACTACTAGTGATATTCCAAACATATACATTTGTGCTTGGTTTTTAAAAAATTAATTTCGTACCTGAAAATTACCTTGTTATTCATTCATGGAGATTTTTATTCAAGTTTATCTTGATTGTGTGACAGTGCCACAGGACATTTGGGTTGTTTACTATGACAGATAATACTGCAATGAAAAAATCTTGAGGCATATATTTTTGCATATTGTTGAAGCTTTATATTCAGCTAGTGGCAGGAGATGGACCAAAATCTATGTGGTTTTATTTTTTATATTCAAATCTTTTATCCATGTGGAATTTATTTTCAGGTATAACATAAGGCATAGATTTCATTTGATCATTTTTCTAAATGGGTAAATTGCTGATTCATTATTATATTTTAAAAGTTCATACTTCAACCAGTGGTATAGATTGCCATATTTTTAGTATAAGAAATCTCAGAATACATTTGAGTCTATTCTTATACTTTGTGTTTTGTTTCAATTGTTAATATATTCTTGTGCTACAACTACACTCTTTGAAGTTATAAACTCTTTATAAAATATTTCAGTATCTGATAAAGTTATTTCCTTCTAATTGCTCTTCATTTTCAACGTTTTTCTTATTAAACCTACATGCTTATTTTTTGAAGTGTACTGGAAGCAATTTGTTTAATATCAGCAAAAAAACCTACTGGTTTATTAATTAATATTACATTAAATTTATAGATTAGCTTGGTTAGAATTTATACATGTGTAATGTTGAGTTCTTGTATCAAGAACATGGGATATACATGTTAAAGTACACCTATGTGGCTTCCAGGAGTGACTTAAAATATTTACCATATAACTTTTGTCCATTCTAAATTTATTGCTAAATTTTTGTCTGTTTGCTGCATTATAGATGTAGTTAACTCCTTAATTCTTCGAGCTCATAAGTAAATGCTAGTGGTATTTGTATTTTTTTTTTTTTTTGAGTTGGAGTCTCACTCTGTCGCCCAGACTGGAGTGCAGTGGCCGCTCCCGGCGACCGCAGCCTCGACCTGCTGGGCTCCGGCGGTCCTTCCGCCTCATCCTTCCAAGTAGCTGGAACTACAGGCGCGCACTACCATGCCTGGCTTATTTTTGATTTGTTGTACAGATGAGGTCTCGCCAAGTTGCCCAGGCGGGTCTCGAACCCTCAGGCTCAGGCAATCCACTCACCTTGGCCTCCCAAAGGCACGGGATTACAGGCTGAGCCACCGAGCCCGGCCTGTATTGTATTTTAATTGTATATCCTAATCAATACATTTTGTATTCTTTCCATTTTATTTTCCAATAGATTATATTATATAATATTACTATTATATAATTTGCATAAATAGAGGTTTTTTGTTTTTTTGAGTTGGAGTCTCACTCTGTCGCCCAGACTGGAGTGCAGTGGCCGCTCCCGGCCACCGCAGCCTCGACCTGCTGGGCTCCGGCGATTCTTCCGCCTCAGCCTTCCGAGTAGCCGGAATTACAGGCGCGCGCTACCACGCCCGGCTGATTGTAGAGATGAGGTCTCGCCTGCCCAGGCAGGTCTCGAACCCTCGGGCTCAGGCAATCCACTCACCTCAGCCTCCCAAAGGCGCGGGATTACAGGATGAACCACCGAGCCCGGCAATAGAGATCATTTACTTTGTCTTTGCCAGTCTCTTGGAACTTTTAGTTTGTCTTTTATTCTAATTACGTAGAATAATATTTCCAATACAATGTTAAATTATACTTACACTGTTCAACAGTATAGAGATAGTAGAAACAATTTTTTTTCTTTTGACCATATAAGAATGACTCTATCATTCCCCCATTAAGTAACAATTTTATAAGTGATATATGTGTACATTTGAGTATATATACATATATATTCAATACAAATGTTATGGAAGTATATATGTGGTGAGTACGTGTGTGTGTCTATATGTGTGTATTTTAAAATGTGATATGGATGTTAAGTCTCTGTATGCATAAATGGACATACATGGATATATGAATTGTGGGTATACATATATGTATGCATGTATATATGAATTGTGGGTATACATATATGTATGCATGTATATGTGTACATATATGAATTGTGGGTATACATATATGTATGCATGTATATGTGGGTATACATATATGTATGCATGTATATCCACACATTTTCACTTAGTTGAATATTTTTATGTGAAAAGAAGGAGTTTTACCATAGGAATTTCAAAATCTGTGGAGATTTTTCTTATGATTTCTTACATTTAAGATACATTATGCTAATAGGTTCCTAATACTGGACCATTTTAAGACTGGACCTTTTTGTATTCTTAGACTAAATTACACTCGAAAATGACATACTATTTTCTTAATTTTTTGGTTAGACTGTTCATTTAAATTTCAGTTAAGACTTTTATACTAATATTTACAAATGAAACCAGTCTACAGTTTTTTTCCTGTGCTAGCTTTATCATGGTTACATATCAATATTACACTTGCATCATAAAAATAATTCTAAAGTTTTATTGTATTTGATAAGTTTCACTGTATTTGAAAGAAAGTTTTACTGTATTGGGGGCAATTATATAGCATTGAGATTATCTGGTGTATGACTGCATCTGGACATGATATATTTTTGATATGACAATTCTTTATAGATTTCTATAGTTCTTTAGAAATTGGTCTATTTAAGCTTTCTTTATCTACCAGGGTTGATTCAAGTAACTTAAATTTTTCTAGTAAATCAATGGTTTTATCTTCATTTTTAAAGTTTTTACATAAAGTTGAATAGTATAATCTCATATTTTATAACTATTCTCTTGTGATCATTACTTCTCCCTTGAAAATTATTATATTTTATATTTGTGATTTCTCTGTTTCCTGATCAGTTAACTAGTGGTTGTCTATTTTGTTAATTTGCTGGAAAAAAAATCATCCTTTTGATTTATTCATTAATTCCACTCTTTTCTTACATTTTATTAATGTCTGCTTTTTAATTTGATTATTATCTTTCTCATATTTCTTTTGGTTTATTTTACTCCAGCTTTCTTAGTTGGAAATGTATTCACTTTTTATTATTTTATGATATTGAAATAAATAATTAATGCTATGAGTTGTCATCTGTTTATTGCCTTATATGTATCTCATATAATTTGCTAAGTAATGTTTTACTAGCATTTTTTAGAAATTCTGCAATTTAAGTTTTCATTTTTCTTTAATAGTTTTACTTAATATCCAGTTGAATGAATATCTGCATATATATTTATTCAGATGCTGCAAGATTTGAGAAAAGGTTTCCAACTCATCAGACTGTATATTAAATTTATATTTTCTGTTATACTGAGAGGATAAGAGCAACATCTTCATATATATATGTCTGTTTATGTAAATTGTTTCTATACAAAGATATAAATAAAGGACTTAGCTATAGATATATAAAACAAAGCATACTATTAGCAAGGCAACATCATACAATGGCATAATTGCCAGTTAAAATTTCACAACTAAATGTTGAATTGACTAACAGTGTTTCTTGAATATGAAGCCTATGCCTTTATTTTAAAGTTATCCCACAGAGTCTAGTCCTTAACAAATAAAATGTTTTGTTAAGGAATGAATGAAAGGAAGAAAGTATGAAATAATGAAAAGGTCATTGTAAAGAAAGTCAGATTCAATACCAGCTCTGCCAATTTGATAATTTAGGCAAGTTCCTTAAATCACATAACACTAATTTGTTATCAAATAGCAAAGAGATTTATTAGATAAGCAAGAATATCTACTTAACCTCCAGATTCCAAAATTTTCATATTCTATTACCTAATCCTTTTGTAAATGATATATATGCCTATGTGTACATGTATATTAATGTTCAGTACATATGCTAAATCACGCCAGAAGCTTATAAAACCATTATTCTTCTTTCCTTCTATCACTCATAAATTATCAGCATATGATCAAATAAATGAAATTGGGACACGGAAAACTCAGCTGGGACCAAACTTTCCTTAATCACTAGTTTCAACTTGATTTTCAACTGGCCTTTAAAATCTGTCAAAGAATAGAGAAATTGAAAAGGCACTCATCCCCCCTTCCCTCTACAATTCTATTTTTAGAGTTGTTCATGGACAATGGCAACATGTAAAAAGTTAAAGAATAGAAGTGTACATAGGGCAACAAATCTATGAGATGGAGCTTTAAATTGTATTGTGCTTTTTAGAATAACTTAGGACTAACCATGATTATAAGCATTGTAATTAAGTTTATGTGAAACAGAATATGATCATTTAAAAATTATAACTCTCAATTTAATATATACCACCAAACTCCCAAGGCTCAATATTATGAATTTTTAACTAATGAACTCTTTTTAAACTCTATTTTAGTCTGCCTTTACTACTGCTCTCTGAGATGGTAATTTTCAATGGAATCTATGTTTCCAGACACAATGGGGATTTATCTCAAACCCCACCACTACACTTTAGCTTAACAGCTAACACCCAGGTCCCAGTCACTCTCATCTCTTGACTGGATATTGAAACGACCACTTCAACAGTTCTTTTTTTACCCCTGTCAAGAATTTTGACTGTTTTCCATAATGCAGCCAGAGTGATCCAGTTAAAATTTAAGTTAACTGACATAACTTAAGAAAACAGGGTGCTTTCTCTTACAAAAGTTCAAATCCTTACAATTCCCAAAAGGCTGGTGCCATTGTAGCCCAATTGCACTTCTAATCTCGTCTCCCACTGCTCATCATTTGCTCATTTTGTACCTGCCACTGTGAAGTGTTTATTTCATTCTTTAACTTTTCCAGCTCTCTCATTCATGCCATTTGCATTTGCAGTTTTCTCTACCTAGAATGCTCTTTACACACATACACGCATGGCACTTCCTCACTTCCCTCAAGTCCTCCTTAAATGTTACCTTACAAGTAAGATCTTCCTTGACCATTGAAACATAAAATAACAACTCTCTTCTCAAACTCTGGGACACCTTTCTCTCTACCATTTACTATAAACTAAAAATTTCTCATTTTTATTTTGCTTGTTTTCTGTCTGCTGGAAATTAACTCCATAGGATCAGAGAATTTAGTTGTGCTTACTGGTATATCTCCAGTACCTAGAACTATGCCTGACATTAGTGCGTATTCAGTTAAATAAATAAATGTTGAGTGAATGAATACATAAGATAAATTCAACTTTAAACTTGCTGATTTTATTTTCTAGCCAGCAAAAACCAGCACAACAAGAAGTAGATATTCTGTTGCAAAGCGTGTCCTCCCTTTAGGTATTCCCCCGAATTAAATCACGCCCACTCTCAGAATGACAGCTATTACCTTGTCCACTTGACACATCACAGTTTGGAATTTGGGAACAGTAGCCAACTCGGATGTTTGGATCAGTGGTAAAACACCAGGGTGACTCAGACCCATCAGGATTTCGGCAGTAATTTTCTCGCAGGTCCCTAATGAAAATAAGCCTGTTAATGTAAATTGCCTGAGTACATACACTGATGAAGTCAACACTATTACATTTCTAGAATTTAAGAATGTATGCATGTTTATAAATAGAGCTCTAAGTTTTTGGATTTAGGATAGTTATAACAATTTAAAATTTGGTATACAAAACTGACACTGCACAAATTGCTGAAACAAATGCTGTCACATGTTAGGTTTTTTTTTTTTTAATTTCCTTCTACAGGACTGAAGTTCCACACAAATGTTACTGCCTCATGAAACAGAGAAACAATACCTCTCTATTCTTCTCCCTTTTTCTCAAGATTCAGATTCTCAACTGGTACCAATTCAAAATACTGGCCTAGTTTATTTATTACACAGCTTATATATAATATAGAAATAGCATATGTCTCTCTTTGCAGAAGAAAGGTTATTATTAATATTCATTATTTATTTATTTATTTGAGTCGGATCTCACTCTGTCACCCAGGCTGGAGTGCAGTAGTATACTCATGGCTACTGCAGTCTCAAACTACTGGGCACAGTCGATTCTTCCGCCTCAGCCTCCAAAATAGCTGGAATCACAGGCACGCGCCATCACACTGGGATAAACTACTCTCACTGAAAATGGAAGTTCAACGTATTTAAATATTTGCCACATAAAAAAGAAAGCTATTTTTTCCTTGAATTCTTTATTTCTTTGATTTATCTAATTTGCTGTATAGAATTTTTAACTACAAAATACATCTATTTTTGATTTAGAGAAGATAGCTAAAAGCTTTATAAATACTTCAGTAAAGTTAAAGTCTAATTATAATAGAGAAAATCTAATAATAGAGCAAGCTGTCAATGTAGTACAGGTACCTCCTTTATCTTACCAGTATTTTAATAAGAAATTTAGAGATCCTAACAAAAAAAAAAGTCTATGATAACATTCTCTGTGTGTAAAGGACTTAAATGATTTTCTATCTTAATATAAGGTTCACTATTAAATTAAATGTGAATTTAATGATATGTGTTAAGTATACTGTCTAATTTCAAGCAAGCAGGTGATTTTATTTCATAGATCCCTGGCTAATAAGTTCACTAAATTAATATTCAATCTACTGGAAACCACAGTGTGTATCACTTAGGTCCAATTAGAAGTACTTCAATTTATTTAAATAATCAAATTTATCATCAGAAACTGAGAAGTTTTTTAGAACGAAGCTTGTGCTTGGTTATAAAATTAACAAGTAATAGTCTATCTAGTCAAACTAGGTCCTGGAACAAGCTTTAAGGATATGAGAACATTCATTGCCAAGAATTAAGGCCATTATATAGCAAATGCTCATACTTACAACCCATACTGAAAGCTATATAGCCTTCTTATAAAATTTTTAACTGCAATAGATGAAAAAGTATTCTTATGTTTCTAAAAATTTATGTCAGTATAAAATATGTATGTTAAATTTTACATGAAATTTACACAAATTTGCAATTTTAGATGAATAGCTGCCTCATCAAATTATTTTGGATTGCTAATTTAAGGCAAGATAACTAAGTGACAATGAAAGGTCATCAGAAGTGTTAGTTTGGATGCACTTTTAAAATCTTTATCTAGAAGCACTCCATAATCTAGGTTAAGCAGGAATGAAAGTCAAAATTTGTCCAAATATTTTCCCTAAATTCTTACTCTTCACTTGAGGAAAAAATTGTTCATAATTACTAAAGTGAATTGATAATTTAATGATTCATATAAATTCATCAGAAGCGGTATTGTTCAGTTATAGTGTTTCAAAGATTGTCATTTATAAGGAGTCTCAGCATTGAGGCAAGTAATATTTAATAGAATCAGAGATACCCGACCAGCTAGATCACAAAGAGAAATAATAAGTCAATGTTCTGAGCAAAATGTTGAGTCTTTTTATTAGTCAGATTGATAGCACAGAATAACTTTCTTTTCTTAATATTCCTGTTCAGTTATTTTAGACAGATAACTGAATTTTAAAAGGATGGCTTAAATTCCAATAAATATAACAGTTAAACTTTTGATAATTAAGTGTTAATTGTGATGTCTGTGAGCTAACTTCTTATAATTCTGTTTCTCTTACAGATGGAGTTCAGTAGGCATCTGCACATATACAATTTCTTATTAGGTATTACCAGTCATTAGACATTAATAAAAAGTGTGAATGGCACTGACATTGTCTGCTTTGTCCAATTTAACCAATATTTTGTTTCTTTACTTTGATATTTATTTCTGAAGTGTGAGACACACGGCTCAAGAGAATAAACTGCTGTGAAGGAAATGAGGAAAACAAACCCAGAATGACAACTATAAATTTTATTATTGTAATAATTAAAAAAATCATGGCATAGGAATATTTATTATCTAAACAAGTAAATTACTGAATTAGCTAAAGCACACACATGCATACACACACCTCCCCTTTCCTCTAATGGATGGGCTAGCTAGTGCTCACAGCTCTTCATCCTGAAATGTTAAGCTGTCTTATTAAAAGCCAATTACATAAAGGCTATATATGTTATTTATAGGTGCTGTTTCAGCAAAGCCACCATGAATGACATGTGTGTTATACATTTCAAAAGCAATCATTTTATGTTCCTCATAACAAGGCAGACAATTTAAAAACACATGGCATTGTGTCTGTGTCTGTCCACAAAATTCAAGTGGTGGAAAAAAAGCAGCTATGGAGAATGCACAAAACAGTGATGCAATTGAAATTCAAGGGCAGTTTTTTTTTTTTTTTTGGGTTTGATTCATTTAAATAGTTGTTTTATGCCTGGACTTTTCAAAACAAACCCAGAAACAATGGAATAGATTCATTTAAGCTTTGAAAAATCATTTTGCTCATAGATCTTTAAGGATGGAAACTTGTCAGTTTTTAAAATATTGACTAAAATCAAGGTGAGCCTCTTCTTTCAAGAGGAAAAAATGTGAAATCACCATCAAAGCTAATATGAAAATTTAAGAAGTCACTAGTTTGAAACATCCCTGGTTATCACTACTACTAATTGATTTCTTAAATAGACCTGCAAGAGCAAAGCTGTGACCTGAAACAACCTAGGAATGTGTTTCCCAAAGCATAGTGAATCAATCTTCACACCTAGAGTGCTTATTAAAATGCATATTTAAGGGCCAAATCCCAAACCAAAGGAATCAAAATCTTTCAGTAGGGGAATAGTCTGTCTTTTAATTCTTGATTATCACTGGGCACCTTAAAGTTTGAGGGTCGCCAACACAAAAATTAGCAAAAAAACTAACCATTCTACTCCATTTCTCCCAGAGCCTACTGAAATTTATTACATTTGCCTACTTTACTCACTTGCACTTGAAATTTTCAGGAGTTATGTCATGTTGGTGAGGATACTGAGAATCCCAACGCTGACATGGAATTCCATTCCAAATAGTATTGATGGTGCCTCTATAACCTTCTCCTTGACCTTGAATGCATTCAGTTGTTTCCATAAGAACATCAGTATCATTCACAGTACTGTGAGCTATTGGTAAAAGAAATGTAAGCTTAAATAAAAGCTCTGAAGATGTCATCTGCCTCTTAGAGTCCATTGATATTTGCATTAGCAAGATTTTATATGCTTTTATAATAATTGAGTAGAATAAGAAATTTAACATTATTTCTATCTCTTTTCCAATTTTCCTTTCATTCAAACCCTAAATTAGTTTATTTTGAAAAGTTATTTAAAGGCATTTTACTTTCACATGTATAACTTGTATATGCTGAATAAATAGTATTTCTGAAATAACCATACAATTATTCCTAAAATTAGGTTGCTTAAGTACATACAAAATAATTAACAAAATTTACCGTGTTTTGTCCACCAATATGATAAATATAGTCTAAGCTGATCCATTAAATTTATTTTTAAACAACTTGTTGTCAATAAAGAACAAATTAGTTGTTCCAAAGATTTATTTTCTGCTTTTTTTCTTAGTTCAACTTCAATGCTTACCATACTTCATGAAGATCATGAGTGATTTGTCCATATTAAAGATCATGAAACCCTTAGTCATTAAGTTAAAAAAGAATAAAATTAAATTTTTGCTACAATTTGGAATCTTTCTTTTTGTGCTTAATGTTTACTCAATCAAAATATGACTCAAAACTTTCTGGAGCAACTAAAATTCATACATCTTAAAACATACATGAAAATGTTTGTGGTTTGATAAAGGTGGCATAAACTACCCAGCTACCATTACAATCTAAATGGTTATTCAAGGTGCCTCTGGATGAAATGCAAATTGACAGCCTCTAGGACAATTTAAGATTTGAATATATTTCATTGATTCATCCCACTCTGGAATTAGATCTGCCATCTCTACAAAGGTAAGGACAGATACTTATGAGATGCATTCCGAGACCAAGGATACCTATTAAAGTTTTTTTATATTTAATAGTATAATTTTTTAATGGCTCTTAAATTTCATATAAAATTGTTTTTTTAATACAAATAATTACTACTTTAAGTGGGTGAATGCTTTATTTTCTTGCATTCTATGAACTAAGCTTAGGTAAACTAAATACAGCCTATGTTTAAAGTTATTCTATGAAGCTTTCTGAAAAAAAGAAAGATTACATTAATTACCACCCCAATCACTGGAATAAGTTGTATTATACAAATTTCCACTAAATTCTCTTTTAATGACTTTGCTTGGGCTCCTTTAAAAATGTGTTTTAATTTCTTGTATATCTAACTTAGAGAATAGAGATAAGGCTCAGAAATATTAAACATTACAAAGAAATTCAAATGGAGATGAAATGTCCAGATGAAATTGTTGACCCATAAAGTGGTAATTGAGAACTGATAGCTTAGATAATTAATATATACTAATATTGATGATACATATTAATACAGAAGAACAGATATTATTAGACTTGGAAAAATGACAATACAGAAAAAGTTGATACTGGCTGCAAAAGTCCTTCATGATTTGCTTACAAAATAAGATGAATTTCATAAGTCCTAAGGAACTATATTTCATAAAAATAAATGTCATTAAGCTGCTCTATTTCTGATTACTTGAGTTAACTGTTAAATGAGTTGAGGATACTGAATGTGTAGGGGAAAGTCTTAAAAGATGATAATTCTAAAACAGACAAAAGGCCAAGCTCGCACTGCTGTATTTCATATCTAGTTATGTAATTATGATGGAAAGAAAACAAAAATAAATGTCCTCAAGAATTCATCAGGTCCCAGCTACTTGGAAAGCTGAGGTGGAAGGAACGCCTAAGCCCAGCAGGTCGAGGCTGCAGTGGCCAACTCCAGCCTGGGCGATAAGAGTGAGACTCCAACACACACACACACACACACACACACACACACACACACACACACACACACACACACTAATAATAATAATAATCCATTAGTTCCTTAGCTTAACATATTAGAGAAAAGTGTTGATTCGCCCCACCTCTTGGGCACAAGATCTACAGTAGCAAATTCATGACCTCAGTCAGGTCTCTCAGTACTGACAATAGAAGGGAGTTCAGTCAAGGCATCCGGTGCAAACACACTTCCACTCGTCTTCTCATAGACTTTATCGCCTGACTCTGGACCTCAATTCTTCTTCTTTTCCTACTTAATTGTATGTGTTCTGTCTTGATTGTTTACTACTGAACCATTTTTCTCAGGCACCAATTTTGCACTGTGCACATGTAACCCACAGACTCAGTTTTTTGTTTTTTGTTTTTGAGTTCTAGATATTCCAAGGTCCAGATGTCAGGGTCATGTTTGGCTAGATATGGGCCCATCAGACCTCACTGAGAAATTAGTTCAAGGGTGAACCCTTGAGAAATTAACACTTTCTGCTCCTTGTACACTAATATGATTTGCCAGATTCCAATCATAACAATAAATAAAAGGAATATAATATTCAGACATACATAAAAATTAATAGTTAATTTTTTAAAAATATTCAGACATGATTAGGGATTTGGTCATTGTTTGATGGAATTTGTGAATATGGAAGCAACTTCAGAGGACTATTTCCTCCAATATGTGAAGCTAACTTTACATTGTAAAAATAGGCTTGTATGAAGTGAGAGAGTAAAGCAGTCTGCCCATAGTGACAGTGTAAAAATAAATATCAAGTATCATTTACAGGGCATGATTGGAATCTCAAAGTAATTTTTCATAAATAACTTTTTAAAGTTACACTTGCAGAAATGACCCATAATAGTGAATATTTGAAGCAATATATAAAGCTTTAAATTAAAAAAACAAATGGAGAGCTACTTCCTCAGGTCCCCTCCCACTGTCTTTTCTGTCTTCTCAATAAATCCTGCTTTAAAAACAAAACAAAACAAAAACCAAATGGAAATATGCTTTCTAAAAAAGAAGATTAGTAAAGTAGACAAAGATGACCATAATTCATTCATATGTGGTAGGTGCAATGAATAACTGTAAGCAACCACATGATTATCAGGAAATATTAAGAGGAATGATAAAATGTAAACACTAATAGAGGATAAATATATTCCTAATTGAGGACAAATTTTAAAACTTTAGGAGTCATTGTGAAAAGAAGATCTATTTATTTTTTCTATAAGTAAAAAAAAAAACACTAGAATAAATATTGAGGAAATTCTTTCATTGCTGATTTATACTACTCAATGTCAAGGTCAGAGTTGTTTGTGCTCATTCTACACCTCAGTTGTAGAGGTTTCCAACTAGATTTAACTAAAAAAAATCTTTCATGTTTAAAAATAGAATTTATAAAAACTCATCACACAGTTTTTTTCTAAACTTTCATTAGTATATTGTAAAGCCTTTATTATAAACTTATCTTAAAGAATCACTAAATATTCACCAGAAAAACAAACTGTGCTAAAATGGCTAAATAAAAATCAAATTTTGAATTTGGATTATTTGCTTCTAATTTGGCAGCAGAAAATAAAACATTTTGGAATTTCCAAAATTGCAGAATACAAAGAATTGCTGCACATTAATACAAAACCAATATTCTAATAAATAAATATAATTTTTCATTCAGCTTTATCAAGATAAGAAATCTAAATCATAGCATTATTGTTTTTGTATTTTATTTTAATAAGCATCTATAACTTTAAAATATATAGTCTTAACTATCTTGACAATTCTACCTTTTTCTTGTGTTTTAAATCATTGGAAATATTTATCTAGCTTTTAACCACACACTAGCATTATTCGACTAGTATTTTTTTAATGTAACTTGAAAGCACCATCTGAAGTTAGTTCATTATATTTTTTCCATTTGACATTCAGCTGCTAGAATTGACCCCATAAATAAAAACTATATCATTCTGGTGGCAATGTATAGAATAAATCATACAGATGAATAAAGATGCATTAGTACAACAAGGTAATGAAATAGTTTTCATTAATAAATAAGAGTTTTATGAGACTTCATGAAACTGTTTAATAAATATTATCTGATGAAGACCACGATGAATGATCTGTCCATAGACCATCTAACTTTGATATACATGTTTGATCTTTGCTGCTCACATACTTGCTATTCAAACAAAATTAATTATTCCTGAATGGTAGTGAAATAAACTCCTTCTGCTGCCCTGCTGTATAAATATCAAAACCTAGTGCAAAAACAAAGCAAATGTTTTATGACAATTGATTTGGAAAGGGCTATTAAGTGTTGGGAAAGGCATTCCTTTGTACTTAATACTTTAACATGGGACCCGAATAAGGGAGGGTTTTGAAGAGTCTCCTGTGGCTAAACTAAGTGTCAAAGCAGCACAGAAACATCCCCAAATATCAGCTGAAGCTGATCAAGTTTAGGCAAAGCAACAGATTTTTAAAATACAGCATGCTCATATACACAAATATTTTGCAAGAATGTGTATACCAAGTTCACACTGAAAATACCAGGAACTCTTTTGAGAGTTCCTCACAAATAAAACATTTTGCCAGGGGTGACAGTGGTGATCACTCCTTGGAAGCAGATGCAACCATATTTATATAATCCTGAGTGGCCTATGATTGAAGGAATGTTTTCCTTTGATGATTGACACAAAGTTTTCTGTTTGGAAATGCTTTAAGGAAAACAACATTTGCTATTGAAAATTTTCACTGACCTGTTAGAACATGATCAAATACAATGGCTGCCTTTTGAAACATTAATTTTACTTTGCTGATGCAAATGTGCTGTGATTTAATTGCTATAGTATTTGGGAGTTTTAAGATTTTAACCTTTTTTTTCTCTTTTTTTAGGGAAAGCGCATTAGCTGTTGTCTAATTCTTGAGACAAGTGTCTTGCCTCTTAACAGACAGAGACCAATAGAACAAGATAAATACTTTAAAAATTCAATTAAGTTTCTTCAAAAAGGGCTGGTCAAAGCTTTGCAGAGAGGAAACAGCCCTAGAGGAGGGCTGTGAATGGCAGCTGGGGAGTAGGAGTGCACAAGTATATTACAGGGGACCACACCCAGGACTCTGTAGGCTTCATATAAACAATGAGTAAATTCTTATGTTTACAGTCCCTC